TGTATTTTATTATAAAGGATTTTCGTTTTTCTACTGCTCCGTACTTCGTGTGCTCCGTACTCCGTGTGCTCCGTGCTCCGTGTGCTCCGTGCTCCGTGCTCCGTGTTTTACTAATAGCCCAATAAATCAAAGCTCATAAAATGCAACACCGCGGAAAAACGTCTGCGCATGCGTGGGGCACAAAAAAGATGGCGAGAAATTTAAATGCCAAATTGTAAACAAAAACATGGCTATTTAATGATTTAATGTAATTGAAACAAACAAAAAAATACACTAGACGGGTAGTTTAGACATGAATAAAAATATTTTAACATTTAAAATCTAAAATGGAACAGAATTTGAATTAAAAATTACCGTTTAAAACCGGGAGGCGTGTGAACATTTCTTGAAAAATTGTCGAATACCGAACTTAAAGCAGAAAACTATCGAACAGTTAAGCATTTGCGCACGATTAAATTGTAGAGTAAATCATTACCCTTAAATATAGTCAACGCAAAAATTATACATGTTACGCAAAGAAAGTTATTGACAAAAATGTGGATGATATGAACCTACGAAAAATATCTTTGTATGGTTCAGTTAATTAAAGAACGTTTTCTACAATAAATTTATCGACAGTCATCTTCGGTTTATTTTCTTGCATAATACTACTTCTTGCATATGTAGGCTATAATTATTTCTAGTTTTTAGGTTGTCACGTTCATTATTCCGCTTGCATTTTCATAGAAAAGACAAAACATCGAAGTCGCTTCCATTTTGAGTTTTTGACAACATTCGGAACACTTGACATCACGTTCGCAATACAGATTGCAGTAATTATGACGCATGCGCAGACGTTTTTCCGCGATGTTATAAAATGCAGAACAACATACCTAAATATTTCGGAAATTCATTGTTATATAGTTTTTAATAAAAGCAATAATCATTCAACTATTTTTGGCATGTTGTACAAAAAAAAAAAATTAAAATTATCGTGTTGCCATGGCAACACTGACGTAAACGCGAGCCTGAATTCAGTGTTGATCAATAACTAATAGTTCATGTTAAATCAATGCTTGGAAAATACAGGGGAGGGGTTGCTGCATGCATGTATTTCTAGTACAGTAATAAACATTGTGGTCAGTGAAATATTCAATTCCTTAAATGAATTTAAACTAGTGACTTCAGTACACTTCACAATTTTCACAGGAGACTAATTAAGCCGCCCTTAAAAAAGATTAAGTCGTATATATATATATATATATATATATATATATATATATATATATATATATATATATATATATATATATATATATATATATATATATATATATACCATAACCTCTATTCATAAGAAACCATAACCTCTATTATGAAACAATATTTGCAGCATTTTCCCAGTTCACCAGTTCTTCAATTTGGTGCCAGAAAGTGTACGAAATGGCATTCCGAGCCTCAATTTTTCAATTTCTTTCTTGGAGCATGTATAGGTCAACTGTGTTTTGTCTGTAGTTTGTCTATTAGTTCCCTTCCGCCAGAAATAAACTTTGTTCCATAATTATATCCGTATATAGTGTCTAATATACATTTTATGTTAAGATTGATGGAACAAGTACAAGCCTGTGATGATTCTGATCAGCGGGAAGGAGACCAAAGTGATCCGCAAGAATTTAACATTTCGGTATCTGAAGCTCAAGGCGCGACTCAAATTGGAAACAAAAACAAAGTTATTCACAATCATAATCAGCAAAGTACAAGTACAAGTCAGATAAATGTTGTCAACTTCAATCACTGCCCTACTACATATCTAGTTGGAGGTGAACAAGGTAGTGTCAATGTATCATAAATTGGATGTAGCTGTACAGGCATCCCGCGTACATTTATCAAATGTATATAGATTTCAGTTCATGTAGCTATCAGAATTTCTGGATTTTGCATCAAAGCCTGTTCATACTGTACGAGCCCAGTTACCGAGACGTCTTACGTACCTATGAATACTAAAAAAATACATTGAGTTTATATAAGGAAGTGGGCTAGCGCACTTGTCGAGGTTCCGTCTGCGTAAGCCAAGACCATGGTATAGGCGAGAGGAAAAATCTTCCAAAGGTCACTCCCACAGCCCGCCTATATTTATTACGTGCAATTTAATACTTAGCTAATGTATTTTTTCCTTTCGCAAAATAGCTTTATTTATGTTGCTTTAGTAATGTTTTTTATGCAAGGAAATGAAGATAAAGACAAAAATCGTCACTGTAAAAACGGCTCGGTAAAATAACCAATTCGAATTGTTTGTCTCAGATGCATTGGTTATCTTTTGACCAATATTATTTGGCAAATTTAGTTAAACAACATATAATTTTCGGTTTAACCAATAAAATGTTGATAAAATATAAAGTGCATCTGTGACAACCCATTAAAATTGGTTCTTTTAATTAAATTGTTTTCACAGTACAAAACTGAAACATTAAATTTGTGCGTGTTGCACATGTTTTGCAAGCGCTAATTATAAAACAGTATTGTAATTTCATCTTAGCAAGCGGGATGAAAACCTAATTATCAATTAACGCACCAATATATTCGCCTTGCATGTTATTATAGCTGATGACATCTCGGACTGGGATCATATAAACAGACCCTGGTTTTCCTATTTTCATCAGAGATCAGGGCCGTAACGTTACTAGACGCGATAATTGGGGGATGCATATATTCATGTATTCGTGTTCTGCCCTACTGATTTCTTTTGAAAGTGATTGTTTTTACGGTATGCATGTGAACATGAATATATGAATATGCACCCTCTCCCCCCCCAAAAAAAAAAAATTATCGCGTCTAGTTAGCTATGGCCCTGTCAGAGATTGGACGAATCATTGCAGCCCAAGTTTAAACGTCACTCTTATCATGTACTGAACCTGATGTATAAGTCACCTATAACTCATGCACTGTTGGAGCTGCATTCGCATTGAAAAACTGCACATCAAAAGTTCAACGTTTTAACAGGGGCGGCGAAGTATTAATGAGAAAAAAAGGGGGGAAATGTTTTTGGTGTGCAGTAGTCGAAATGACTCAACACACTTCACTTACACCTCTCACCCCACTCCCTCCCCCCATTCAAATAGGGCTAGCCCTGCCCCTGTGTTTTAACTCGGCCTTATTGACCAGAATAATGATCGAAACACAATTCGACAAATTGCAACTGACTACGATCATTTCAGTAACCTTCATACATGCAGATGCATGCAGTTACGTAAATTTTGCTTCTACACAAGACATAGATATTTAAGAATATAAAACCCATGGGAAAAGATAGTTGAAGGGTATGCAGTATGTAGAAGGGAATTATCAACCAGGTATAGGTCCTTGGCAGGAGTCGAGCCTGCATGCAGCCCTGCGATTTCGGTGGAGGGTTCCATGCAACCAATTGAGCTATAGACGCCAGTGTCCAGTAAATGTATATAAATTTACCCTCGATAATTTCCATCTACAAGACCATTCAACTATTTTTCATCGAGCGAGATGCCAACAAAACCTGTATATTTATGGAAAAAATATACCCTATATAATGTGAAGGAATGTTCTCGTCTGCTAGTTCTGCTATAATATCTAGATAATGTTCCTAAGGGTTTAAGGTAAGAAATGACAAAATTTTATCGCGGCGTTATTAGCATTCAAGAACAAACGATCATGAAGAAATGTAATTATCATGATTGAGTAGACTCTGCTTCTTTTGAAACTGAAGAGACTTAATAATGAATTTTGCAAAATGCCAATAAATTCACATGATATGCCTTTTCACTTTACTGCATGTAAGATAAATACATATGATATACGATTTCACTTTACTGTATTTCAGCTGTTTTACTTTATCTATTACTGCATATAAGTCAATGTTATCATATTAATATTTTCCATTTCAGGTTTAGCAGATAACATAATATATTACCTCCAACCCCCAAGAACTAGGCCGGAATTAAATTATGACCAACAAAGGGACATCCACGAAGGTACCGTATATCTAACTACTTCAGCATTAACTGTTTTTAAAGCACATGTGTATGCATTCAAATCTGCTATAAAACCATACATATGAGAAAATCTATGCGGGAAACCTGGGATAATTTGCACAAGACCATATTTAATTCCATTATCATTTTTTTGAGTTTTATAAAATTATCATAAATATTCTTCACTAAGTGTAATATTGAATCTGGTTGAATTTTATATGAAATCCTATAGCTTAGGGGTCCATAATATATATTTTGGTGATTTAATATTTTTATTTGTGTTGATAATAGTTAATAATTTACCAAGCAAAAACACCATCACAGGGACCTATCTGCCCCCTCCCCTGCCAGCACGCTACTGTAGTAGATTTACTTCTTAAGTATAAAATATATACAAATCTGTTTCAAAACTGCGATCCAACAATATAGTCAAAAACGAATAACGTAATATTTTTTAGGCGAACAACAATACGACGGTTATTTAAAGCCAGCTGGAATTTCGGTATTAAACAAGGCAGGTATGCATATATATGGGACGATTTTAAGCACACCAGCCCGGATGAGACGAATTTGTTAATGTAAATGATTGAAATTTCGTTATTAGCTTGTTCTTTCGTAATACGCAGTTGCGTCACTGTTCAAAAGTTTTACCAATTTCATTCGGAAACGGATCTCACAGGACACTTTCCGCTAGCAGATTGGGTCACGCCCACTGAACCCTAAGGGAACTCGCACGTTTCCGCAGGAAAATGTGAGCACACGAGAGCTTTTAGCTAATGTATTGCACTTTAAGAGGCTGTCTCTCTAAGAACCGACCAGTGGCTTTCAAGCAAGAAAATGATTTTCGCTTCTATTTTGCCCATGTGTTGTGTTTGCCTTAGCAACATTTTTGCCGGTTTTAAAATTTTTAAATTCTATTTTATTTTCGAGTTTTAGCTTATTATAACCGCCATGCCGGCGTGAGTGAAATTCGAGACGAAGCGCCGCTCATAAATCCCCGGTAAATCTCTCGTCATATCTCGGGAAGTTTTGCATCAAATTCAACAATTCTTTCAGAAATATAAATCAGAACTATCCTCTATTGAAAACCTCATATCAATGTAAGAGTCAACAACAATTTTAAGTATATTTCTTCTTCGTTAGCGAACGTAGTATTTTGTCGTTTAATCCTTCGCTCCATAGTCCGTAATTATAATCGAAAATTTTTCGAAAGTGGCACCTATCTGGACTTTGAAATACATTTAGAGTGAAAAGCACTCCTTGAAGTTAAATGAACGACAATAAAACTTGCCGGCAAAAGAAAATTCGATGAGAACAAAACGCTATAATACGAGCTATTTTTAGTTGGTTTGTTTACCTGTTCATGTGCGGAAGTCCCTTTGATGTTTACAGCAAGGCAGTTACTAGGGATGGGCCGATATCGATACCAAATACTCGATACTATCGATACCAGGGTTTTGAAGAAAAGTATCGATACTGGCAAGAAATATCGATGTTTCGATATTTCTGCGCCTGCGATATTTTTCATTTTGGTCAGCGGCATCATCATGAAAATATACATTTGGTTCTTTGGTTCTATAGATTCATGTCTCGCTATTTATGAATGCTAACCCTAATCCTAACCCTAACCGCTAACCCTAACGCATAAACAGCGAGACATGAATCTCATTCAAATGAGACCAAAAAGCCTAAATAGGCGTAAATACTATAAAAGTGGTTCATTTTCTATGGTGCTATAATGGTCCACGGGCAGGATGGGAGTTTCTGGTTATGTTGGTTGCAATCACTGACATATATTATTCAATGTTTATATTGTTAGCGTTGTTGCCGTTGTTAATGATTAAAAATATTCTCTTTGTTGTTATGGTTGTTCGAGTCGGGAAAATATCGATATCGATATCGGAAAAACCCGGCAAATATCGAAGAAATATCGTATCGAATGAAAAAGCTGGTATCGCCCATCCCTAGCAGTGCTGCCAAGTCACATTATAGCTTACAAACTTGTAATTTGTAGTCAAAAACGAACAATTAATGTTGTTCTTTTGTGTTAGAAGCCGTCCTACCTCTTCTGCCGGGCACGTTTGATCCAGCAAACTGGAATTTGAGTTGAAGTTAACAGCTATTACTCCTATTAGCTTGCTTGCGGCGACAGACAGACGTTATTAAAGACATTAAAAACTTAATATTTAATAAGGCCGATGGAATTAAGGTATCAGTTTGCCGTCACCTAAAATTTCCAAAGTTGATGCGGATTTTTTTCATTATTCATTATTCATTATTTTTCATGATTTGAATTTGTCAAATTTTGCCCTAAAAATCCGAATTTTGACCGAAAAAATCCAAGAAAATTTTGACGATTCTTGAGCTTTTTGCTAGCTTCCGAGCTATCAGCTATGTCTTTGACTCCATTTCGCTGTGGCTTCGCTACGCAGGCTATGGCTTCGCTAACTATATAAACAAAGTCAGTATTTGCCAATAATTTCAACAGAAAGCCATTTTTGAAACACTTGCTCTACAAATTTGACAAATAATGAAAAAATATTGAAATAATGAAAATTTCACGCGGCTGCCAATAACACACGCGGGCGGGTGACGGTAAACTGATACCTTAATTCCATCGGCCTAACTACTAATGAGTAATGTTCAATGCGTAACTAACTCTTCACTGAAGTTTTTCTGCGAGAGAAAAAACGTTTGAAACTCACTACCAATATATACGAAGGCAAACGTTGGCGAAAATCTCTCACTGAGGCGTGTTTCACATAATTTTGGTTTGACAGCGCCAGCAAACTTGTGATCATTCTTGTATTGTAATTTATTTAGACAAAGCCAGTCCAACATGTTGATTACATCTATATTCTTTAATTATTTTGTCTTTCGACTTTAAACCGAGCTCAAGATGTGAGCGTATTTCCTTTATGATCGGAACCTTAAATCCCAAAAGTTTGTCTTGCTTGGGCAATTCACACAAGTCGTACGCATTGAGGAAATAACGACATATTCGAAGGTAAAAAACCCATTGAAAACATGTTACCAAGCTTCAGTGATTGTACATTGACGCGAATTTTTAACTTTGTAGCGAAAATTTCTTATTAATAAGCGCGTTCTCATGTTTATTTTGTTCCCGTTTAACAACGGCTGCAGGCAGGGTGGGAGGGGGGAGGGAGGGGAAAGTGTAGATAACTAAATTGCTTGTTGGCTATAGTAAAATAAAAGGAGGAATAAAAAAGAAAACTATTTTAGATCAAACCACATAAACTATTTTCCCATTTTCTGAAAA